GGAGGGGTCATCCTCCGTTGTCTTGTCGCCATTGCCTTCTTTGGGTGTGTCCACCATGTATATATATATCGTATGATGAGGTGGATGTCCAATGCCCTGTGGGCAGTGGTTCCTCTTCGTCTCCCACATCGTTGTCCATACCGTCGATGTCTTCGGAGTCGAAGTCGAGCATGTCGGTTAAGTCGTCGACAGTGGCTACTAAGTGGGTGGTGGGTGGGCGGCGAATTTCTTCGCCATCCGCATCCTAATCCTGCCGGACGTAGTTCGGCCAGGACTCTCCTGACAAGGAGAGAGACCTTAATGAGTTCAGTATGTCACCGAAGGGCGAGTGCTAAAAAATATCCGTGGAGGTAAACTCCATGATCGGCGCCCAATTGGATTCGATAGGAACGGGCGCAGGCGGTTCGAAGTCCGTGACCAGAGAAGGATCTGGCAGTTTGGCAACACGGCTCTCGTGAAGGGTAAGGTCGATATTCGGCTCGATCGCCACTGAGGATATGGCCTCCGTGACGGGGTCTATCCACCCATCCATGGATGGCGCAACTGGCTCCAAATTGAGGCTCGGAGCGGCCGCCGGTGCGATCTCCTGAATACGGTCCGATGGTAGAGCTAAATCGTACTCATCGTGACCGCATGGCGCACAAGGCAGGGGCTCGAATCTATCGAAGATCAAGTCTCCACGGATATCGGCCGTATAGTTTAAGCTTCCAAACCCGACCTGGTGGCCAGGGGCGCAACTTTCGATCTGCTCCAGATGGCCAAGCGAGTTGGCCCGCAGTGCGAAGCTGCCGAACACAAAGATCTACCCGGGGAGAAAAGTCTCACCCTGGACTGCGTCACTATCGATGATAGTAGGAGCCATCAAGCCTAACGGCGACGACATAGAGGAACTCTCAATGAAAGCACCAATGTCGGTGTCAAAACCGGCGGATCTCGGGTAGGGGGTCCCGAACTGTGCGTCTAAGGCAGATAGTAACAGGAAGCAGGGGACACTATGTTTTACCCAGGTTCGGGCCCTCTTGATGGAGGTAAAATCCTACGTCCTACTTGATTTATTCTTGATGATATGAGTATTACAAGAGTTAATCTACCACGAGATCGGAGAGGCTAAACCCTAGAAGCTAGCCTATGGTATGATTGTATGTTGTCCTACGGACCAAAACCCTCCGGTTTATATAGACACCGGAAAAGGTTAGGGTAATACAAGGTCGGTTACAAAGGAGGAGATATACATATCCGTATTGCCTAGCTTGCCTTCCACGCCAAGTAGAGTCCCATCCGGACACGAGACGAAATCTTCAATCTTGTATCTTCATAGTCCAACAGTTCGGCCAAAGGATATAGTCCGGCTGTCCGGAGACCCCCTAATCCAGGACTCCCTCAGTTACCGTTCCACCATCCTTTGACCAAAGCGCTTGCCGACCATGAAGTAGTAGAGATGTGCTGCATTCCAAGCCACGGAAGAATGTTGTTCCAAATGCGCAACGTGAAGCGACATTAGAAGAGTAGGTGAGCAGCGGACTCCTGTACTTGCTTGCAAAGAGGGCACACGTTGCAGTTGGGCCAGCCACGACAGATCAAGCGGTCTGATGTCCAGATCCTATTTTGAAGAACCAGCCAAGCATCTGCTATGATTTTCTTCTGTCATAGGGATGTTGGTGACTCCTCTCTATCCTACGAAAGCTCCGATGGTGACGACGTATGGTGATGATTATTTGTTTTGCTTTCTGTCCCTGAAGGGCTTCATTGCTTTTCTTGTGGGATTCTTTTTGCAAAGTGTTGTATCAGTTGTGTTCTGGGTGCATTTGGATCATAACTACGTGTGGGTTTGTAACTCTGCACATGAATGAATGCATGTGGTTTACCTCGAAAAGAAAGTACCATAAGTAAATCAGAGAACGAAAATCCTAAAACAATTGGAGTGAGTGGGGTTTGACCTTGGCGCGGCAACATGAGGGAGGGAAGTGGACGCCAGGACGGCCCGTGCATCGCTCCTAGGTGACCTGGATCCACACAGCGCAAAAGGCAAAGAACGGAAAAGAAAAGGCCGAGGAGAAGAGGAAAATGCATGGATAAACCTGGTACATATGAACCCACTTTAGAAAACATATTTTCTAAATGCTAAAAATCTGGAAAATGTTGCATAGTTACGTCTCCATGTTCGTGCCTAAAGTTTCATGAAAAAACAAAAAAAATTGTGGCCTCACAAAAAAAGTGTCGTGAAACGCTATCTAGAAGCACTGGATTTTTTTTTGAGACAAAATGAAATGATATTTTTTCACAAAACTTTATGTTACGCACACACATTTACGGACATGTATGCGTGAAATTTTCTTTTAAATTTGACATTTTTAAACGTGCTTAGAATGTACTTTGTGAAAAATTGGTGCATATGCCATGGGCGCTGGGAGTGCCCTCTCGAGGAGAAGGCCTCTACTAGTAGCTAAAGCTAGTAGCTCATGATACGAAGAATTTATTTCACGTCCATCGATCACCAATCGGCAATCGCACCGCTAAAGCATAAACCCCGACCTCGCTCGCATCCCATGCATGCATGGACCACCCGGCTGCTGCAGTGCCCACATATGAGCTGCCTGCCTCTCCACGCGTGCATGCATGCCTGTGGAGGAATCACAGCGCGTTGGAGTGTCACTGCTAGCTAGAGAGGGTCACAGTGCTGCCGCCTTAATTTCTCAGTTCCAAGTACTCTTGCTATATGCACCTATCTACTGTGTACCATGACATTGGATATTTTTCAAGAAATTTTTCGAAATATTCATCATGTCATGGTAGTACGAAGAACACATAAATAACAAAAATTACATCAATATCCTTAGACTATATAGCGACGACTACAAGCACTGGAGCGAGCCGAAGCGCGCCGTCATCATCACCCTCCTTCACAGAGACGGGTCAAACTTGCGGGTAGACAATTAAGAAGTCGTCGTGCTAAGCCTTACGGGACCAGCATACTAGAACAGCAACCATCGCTGATGAAAAGAAGTATAGATCGAAAGGATCCGACCTGTAGACACATGAACGAAGTCTGGATTCAAGCAGGTACACTGAAGACCAGCACCAACCAAATTCCGTGAGATCCGCGAGAGACACACCCGCACATGCCCTCCATGCTAGACGCATCACAAAAAACGGGGGCTATGAGGAAGAACCCTATTTCATCTTCAGTTAGCCTCCATCGCCTCGCCTTTCTAAGTAGGACAAAAACGCTAAACACAGTAGAAAAAAAACCCTACAGACAGAGCAAGATCCCTCCCGCTGGCAAGGGCCAGGGTCAACCACGCCTCCATGGCCCTAGGGCCACCAAAGACGAGGCGGGCCGGTGGCGGCGCCGGCGGATAGCAGAGTAACCCTAAGTCTTGTCTTTTCTTTCTGGAGAGGAGCATTGAAAGGACATTGGATTAACCCCCTAAAACTCCATGACGGTATATATTACTCAAGAAGTAACATTGGATTAATTTGCAATAGGAAAGGAAAACATTTCCCTTTTTCTTGACGAAAAAGCGAAAGATACGTTGCGAAAAGGACCGGATCAAGAAACCCAGGGTGGCGAGCCGGCCAGGATGCACAATCCACAAACCAGAGATGCAAGCACCCATCTCAATCACAGGAGCGGTAGCCGCCCAAAGTTGTTCTCATCCCGGCTGGTCATTTTCCCCTCTTTAACTCCCTTTGTTGGTGACCACTTCTTCCCAAAAGGTCACTGGTGCCGTTTCTCGATCGAGTGCTCATCCACTGGTTCCCCGGCCGGCCTGCCCAAGTGTCCATCCACGAAAATCATGCAGCATAGTCTGGTTTTATCCCAACCCGGCCGGCCTATCATATATGGATTTTGTTTGGCAAAATTCATCTGAAAATCCTTCAACTCAAAGGACCCAGCTAGTTAAGTGGATTAATAAATACTCCCTCCAGTCCTTTTTAGTCTGCATACAAGTTTTGTCCGAAATCAATGTCTCTTTAATTTGACCAAACTTATTAAAAAAATATCAACATCCACAATGTCAAATCAATATTGTTAGATTCATCATGAAATGTAGTTTCATAGTATATATATTTGATATTGTAGATGTTGATATTTTTTAATATAAATTTAGTCAAACTTTGTAAAATTTGACTTGATACAAATCTAATACGCGGAGTAAAAAGGACCGGAGGAAGTACAGAGTACAACGTAGCATAACAGGTGGTAGGAACCAAGTTGTTTTCTTCAAGTTCAACCGTGATGCGTGACGGCTCTAGCTACTACTAGTAGTTTATAATCATCAAATGTATTGTCTTGGATCTTGCAAGGAATTCCAGCTCAAGACCAACAAGTCTGTCGACCTAGCTAAAGCAACAAAGGCACACATCACATCAGTAGGAACACTACGTGTACCTAGCCCCTTGTATTCTCCTTTTATTGTATTTTCCACCATGCACCTTCGGTAATTCAGTTACCACGTTGCTACAATTTTTACAAGCTATAAAGTAGAACTTTCCACATTCCTTCTAAAAGTTACAGTTAATTTGTTTTAGATCATATACTACAGTGTGCCATGATATTCCATGTACAAATATACCGGCATAATGTAAGCAATTATAATTTTTTTCAGGGAATCATATATCACAAAAAGGTTTCATCATGTGTCAAATCAATACATGTACATAGTTGTAGTACCACCGTACTATTAAGGCTAGCCAGTGCTTAGTAGGCACCACACTTACTAGCCATTAATTATTACCAAGTTAATCATCGATACTCCGTTTCAATCAAAACTAACCAGGATCAATGGATCATTAGGCAAAGCCTCCACTCCAGTATATATCGATGGTGCAAACTCCACTCTTATCCTCTCTCCCTCCCACCTACTTGCGCACCCCCAAATCGCTTGCCTTTCCTCAGCCATCTGGTTGCCCTAGCTAGCTGGCTCGCCGGCCTGCTGCTGCCGTGCGCACACGCGCGCTATGCGGGCAATAGGTACGGCGAGGGAGAGCCGGCAGCCATGAGCAGAGACATCGACGAAGGGAGCGTTTCGGCGGCGACAGCAGGAGGAGAAGGAGGGGAAGTGGGTGACGAGCCGGTGGCCGGCGTCAGCGACGAGGCGGCAGTCGACTCGCACGAGAACGACTTGGTGATGCCGGGGTTCCGGTTCCACCCGACGGAGGAGGAGCTGATCGAGTTCTACCTCCGGCGCAAGGTGGAGGGCCGGCGCTTCAACGTCGAGCTCATCACCTTCCTCGATCTCTACCGCTTTGACCCATGGGAGCTCCCCGGTACACACTAGCTAGAACACACAGCCACACACCGCTTAGCTCAAATTAATCTTGGCAGATTGGGGTCTTGATTGATTTCTTGTTGTTGGCAGCAATGGCGGTGATTGGGGAGAAGGAGTGGTTCTTCTACGTGCCCCGGGACCGCAAGTACCGGAACGGCGACCGGCCGAACCGGGTGACGGCGTCGGGGTACTGGAAGGCGACGGGGGCCGACAGGATGATCCGCGGCGAGAACAGCCGGCCCATCGGCCTCAAGAAGACGCTCGTCTTCTACTCCGGCAAGGCCCCCAAGGGCGTCCGCAGCAGCTGGATCATGAACGAGTACCGCCTCCCGCCGCCCACCACCGACGCGGATCTCTTCTACAAGGTAATTGCCGCGATCAAGCAAGCGAAATTAGACTAGGGTTTTGGAATTTGGAGGCCAGACTTAAGACCCGGAAATTCCTCATCTCTTGATTGGTCTTTGTTTTGAGAAATCATGGGAAGCTAGCTATATACCAGCCGTTGTTCATGCTGTTAATCATTGATTTGATCTGCTTTTTGTTCACTGCTACCTTTTTTGTTGGTTGGCATGATTCACATGAACATGTGACATGCCTTTCCTCTCTTTCTTTTCAGATCTAAGAGCTTAGGGTTCGCTTTTTGCTCGTTCTTTTTGGCATACATATGGACATGTACAAACGCTGCCATGTTGAATTCAGAATTCCTCTTATAGCTGGCTAGATACCACTTGCATGTCCTCCAGATTCTTCAATTTAACTATTTGCATGTCCAAGCTAAACAGTCAATTCAGCTCCCCTTTGCTCAAATATTCAGATCCGAACTTAATTGAAGCATTTAATTCCATCTCACAGCTAGCGCTCACTTCATATGAAAAGCATGCACCCTGTTCCTCAGTCCTCACTCAATTTACTGCATCCTATGCCACCTCGCTAGTATCACGTACACGTAGAGGGTGTTTGTTTTCATGGACTTATTGGTCTAGGGACTTAAATAAGTCTCTATAAGTCTCATCTAAACCAAACAGGAGGGACTTATAGGGACTTAAAGTGGGCATTTGGGACTTATGAAATAAGACTCTCAAGGAGGGACTTATAGGGACTTATAGTTATAATATGGTCTTATAGAGACTTATAAATCCGAGGAACCAAACAGGTAGGGACTTTTTAGGGACTTGGAACTTATATGTTAGGACTAAAAAAAGTCATAGGACTTATGAACCAAACAGGGCCGTACTCGTGTAAGATCTTTGGTATTGACAGTAATTTCTTTAGCTTTGACGTGTCGCAGTAAATTCTGAATTCCTTAATTTGATCGTGCTTGCTTATGTAGTTTATCCGAAGTTCACAAAATGTTTCATGCATGCAGTCCGAGATCTCGCTCTGCCGCGTGTACAAGCGCTCCGGCATCGACGACGGCCACGGGAGGCCCTCCTCCAGCAACGCCCAAGCGGCCTCGGCGAGGCCGGGCACCTCACGCACCATTATTCCGCCGGCTGGCCAGCAGGTATCATCACCGTCGTCCACGCCGCTGTCACCGACGCAGCAGCCCAGCTTCCACGGCATACTCGGCCAAGGCGAGTGCTCGTCGGCGCCGCTGCCAGCCATCATGGACCAGGCCACCCCGCACAATAATGCTCCGCAGCTGCATCAGCCGCGGCCTCCTCCTCCCCCGAGGGCGAGCGCCTTTGCGTCGGCGATGAGCTCAACGATGTCGGTTGCGCCGGGCGCGAGGGGCTGCACGTACTCGCTCATGGCCCTGGCAGACGCACCCATGATGGGCAGCAGTTCCACGCCGGGGGACGAGCTGAGCCGGCTGGTGGGCCACAGCCAGGCCTACCCTAACCACCCGGCCGTCGGCAGCCACTTCCTCCCCTCACCGTCGTCGTCGCAAATTCCGCCCCTCGGAGAGATGCCGGTGTCGCCGGCCGACAAGCTTTGGGATTGGATCCACCCTGACACCTCAGGCAGCAGGGACTACGGAAGTTCTAGTTTTAAATGACTCCAAAACCAAGTAAATGCAGGCTTGAGAGGAGGTTGCATTGCATATGCCAGTGGGCAGTGGCACTATGCATAATTCGTAGGTTTTCGCAGCCACGGTTAACTCTGAAAACCATCAACCTAGACTTTACATTATACCCTTTCACCACTCTTCAGCAAGTGGTATATATGATTCAGAACTAAATTAAGATATATATAGCACTGATGTTGTAAGCACAAGTTTGTGTTCAGTCAGTCTAAACGTTCAGCTTCATGTCTTAGTTAACTCCACCCGGATCGATGTGTTTAACAGCAAATGAGGTTAGTTTACACTGTTGAATGGTGATCACCCAAAATCTAAGCCTCGGGCAGGCAGTTGTTTCTACTAGCATTTAATCTGCAATTCTGCATGGCACATGAAATAATGTGTGCATGATTGGCGGGAGACCGTTGCAGCAGGGGTTGTTTCTTTCTGCATGAGTGGGGGGAAGACTTGCAGGCGCGGTAGGTGTCAGATAAGGCGAGGATTAACTGGCGTGTGCATGGAATAATCCATGTGATTATTGCTCTTGCTCTTTTGCGTAGTGTTTTGCTCATTGCTGTGAGCCACTGGCTGCAAAAGGTAAGGATACGTATGCCGCATGCATGGTTAGAGTTCGTTTGTGCGGAAGTGCATGTGCCGGCCGGCCGGCCAGGCAAGAATGACTGGGCGAGATGCCTGTCGATTTGTATGTATCTGCTATTTGATTGATGGAGAAGACAATCTACTGGCAAATGGTGTAAAGACTAGTTCGTAAATTTGTTGTTATACATGCATGCTGGATGCAATAGCTAGGTTTTGGCCGGTTTCGCTCTCTGCACTCTAGGATGTTTGTTATACATTAATTTAGGTTGTATGGCCCCGCTCTCGCGAACGCCCCGCTCCTAGGGTTCCCTCGCCGCCGCTGGCGGCTCCCCCGCATGGGGCCGCCGCCGCCGCCGGAGCCCGTCGCCGCCGCTAGCCGGAGCCCGCTCCCCTACCCCTCCCCTTCCTCCCTTCCCTTCCCCGTACCCCCGCGTCGCCTCCCCGAGCGGGGC